GACTCCCTGCATGGCAAGTAGCTCTCCCTAAAGGATGGGGAGAGGGACTGCCCATCTCCCTCCCTCGCACCCCTGAAGAAATGGCTGCCCTAAGCCCATGGAAGCTAAATCTCATGTCCTGCTTAGGCAGGCCTGATTTGGGCCTTTGAGATGCCACCTCTGTTTGATCTTTCCTAAACTTGAGTGAAGAAATACCAGGTTTGAAGAGCCACTATGTGAGTTGGAGAGGTCTGGTGGTCCTGGGTCATTTGGCTAGGGCTAACTAGCAAGGGGAGAATTCCCTACCAACTCTTCTGGTACTCTTGAAGATGACCATCAGCTGGAGAGTAAGCCAGTCCTTGGTCTGGTTTGCCTGAAGACTAAGAGACAGTGCAGAGCTGAAGTAAAAGGTAAAATGCTTATTGATCAGCACTCCCACAGACTGCTTCATATTTATGTTTGTAGTGTTTTAACTTTTTTTAAGTGTTTTTAAGTGTTAACTTTTTGGCAGAGTTTGAGAGAAATTACTGCTGTTTTCATTTAAGTCTTTTTTCCAACATGTGGTTGTGGCTGTTCTGTGTTAAACATTCTTCTATGTGTAGGAAATATCTGTCCTGTACCTGAATCAAAAAAGAAAAAATTCAAAAGGCATGGAGGGAAAGAAGGCAGGCATGAAGGCAACGGAACAGGGCTTATTTAAGGGTTTAGGAAATAAGCACTGTTTACTGTGGAACAGGAGAAGCAGGAGAAGATAGAAAGACAGCATGGCATGGGACTGAGCAGGGCTAAATGTGAGGGAAAGGAGTTGGAACTTTCTGTGGTGAGTAGTAGGGAACCAGTGAGACCGAGCAGAGGAGACGCATGACCAGGTTGGTGTGGATGGATGAGTGCAGGAGAAAACAGAGGTAGAGTTCACTGCATCTGTGTAGTGGGGCGGTGATAAAGGCCTGTGCTGGGGTGGAGACAGGATTAGAGGAGATGTGAGATCATAGTTTTAGAGCTGGAGGGATGTTTGGACTCATTTAGTACCATCCTCTCCATTTACAGATACTAAGGCACCAAGAAGAAAGGTGGCTGAAATCAAGGTCTCATTGCTATGAAGTGGCAGACCAGGGCCTGGATCCCAGGGCATCTGGTTACAAATTCAGGGCTCTTCTCACTGCTGATGTCGAATTGACAGAATCTGGTAAACGATGGGAGGAGAGATGAGGGAGAGGAGCATTAAAGAGAGATCTGTAAAGAGGTGACTGGGGTGGCATGGCTCTGCGTAACATTGCCAAGATACACAGCAGAGAGAACAGGAGTGTGGACAGATGTTTGAAGAACACATATTAAGGAATGAGAAGGGAAGATGGTCTCAAATGAAATAAACCTACACTTTTTATCTTCTTGCTTCAACTGAGGCAGCTGGGGAACACAGTGCAGAAAACACTGGACTTGCTAGGAGTCTTTAAACCTGTTCTCTCATCTGTAAAATGGGAATTATAGCACCAACCCTCCCAGGGTTGCTGTGACCATAAAATGAGATAACAGATGTAAAGTGCTGTAGATGTGCTAGCCACTATTAATTCTTTTACTTTCTTTGTAATTATTAGACCAAAAGGATACATTTTAAAAAAGCAGAGTCTGATCAGTTCTAATAGTCATTCCTCCTATGATCCTTTACAGGTTCTTCTTGCCTGGTTTCTGGGTTCAGTCCCTGTCCTGTTTATCTTTTAGAATCTAGGGAGATCCTGTGAGGTTCGGGTACTTTATCCAGACTGCTTTTATTTTTTTAATCAGGAGTGTGTATGAGTTTTTTAATCATGCCAGGTTTTTTCCCCCCCCTACTTAGAGCTCTAACCAGGAGGTTTAAAAAAAAAAACTTGAGAAGTGAGCAGCTCTCTCTTACTTGCTGATCTTAGAACCACTGCTCCATTTGGGCCTCTCTCCTGAGCTTTAGTTGCCCTACTTCCAGCAATATACTGGACTTCTCCACCTAGGTGTCCCCAGAACAACCTCAGACTCATGATCTTTCCTCCTAAACCAAACCCTTCTCGTAATTCCCAATTTTGTGGGCCCAACACCATTCTTTAGTTCCCCAGGCTCAAGACTCAAATGTTATCTTCAACTCTATTTCATCTCCATCCCCTTATCTGCACTGACACCACAACCACCCTATTTCAGGCCCTTACCACCTCTCACCTGGACCATTTTAATAGCTTTTTAATTGGTCTCCCTGCATCCTCTTTTCCAATCCAGCTACCATACTGATATTCCTAAAGTGTAGGTCTGACCATGTCACTTGAGAAGCTTCAGAGGCTTTTGATTGCCTCTAGAAAAAATACAAACTCCTTTTTGGCCATTTAAAGCACTTTATTATCTGGTTCCAACCTTGCAGGCTCATTTACATGTCTGACTTTTCAGCTAAGCTGGTCTGCTTGTTTTCTGTGTATCAATGTCCACCTCCTGTCTTTCTGCCTCTGCACAGGCTGTCCCTTCTCACTTCCACCTATTCAAACTCCTAGCTTCCTTCAGGGGCCACTCCAGCGAGAAGCTCCTCCTGATTCTTCCCTTGCATCTCTCCCTCTCCCCCCAATACTTTCTATTTATTTTGAATACCTCTTATATCTACTGAGATGCCTACATGTTGCTGTAGGTTGTCAGGACAATTTCAGCTTCTTAAGAGTAAAGACTGTCTCACGTTTGTATTCTCACCATCAGCACAGAGCCCACTACCCAGCAGGTGCTTAATAAATGCTCACTGAATGGAGGGAATTTAAACATTTATCACTTACTGGCAGGTTATGGCTTTCAAGATGCAAATTCAGTTTGGGTCTGAGCCATCCCCATGATCCTGCTTGGATCTTGTCTGGAAGCTGAAGCCTTGCCGACTAACTGGGTGGGGTTAGCGTGGGGGCAACCGAGATTCCTCAGGCTGTGACCAGCCAAAGTTCTCAGCACTTGCCAGTGGGAGAATCATGACTCAAACTCGTCCAAAATCCATGAGGCCGAATTTGTGCTGGTATCAAGTTTTATATGATGGTGAGCACACGGTAAGATCTTAACAGATAATGAGATGAATTAAATGGTGAACCCTACAAAAAGTACCCACAATTTGAACTTTTTTGATTGACATGTGAATGATTTTGTCTTTAAACTACTTAGAATAGCTTGAAGAGAAAAGTCAACTCTTTAATAAATTTGTGTTCATTTTCTAGGATTGTTTTCAGCAAATCTATAATAATTTCCTAATAATTACCTTACTTTTGATAGTCTATTACAGTAGAAATTTAATGCAGTTTTGTTATTTTGACTTGCAGAAGGGCTTGCATGAAAACAAGCAAATATTAGGTCAGTTTTAGTGAGGATAAACAACTGAAGTTAATTAATTTTATTTAAACCCTCAAAACTGGTCTGTCACCATGTTACCTTCAGGGTCCTCAGTAATCCTTATTTAAATCACTGTCATTCTTAAATTTTCTTCAGGGGGCAGGAGATTGTTTAAAGATTGTCAACAAAGTCACACAGCTGATTGCCACCAAGGTACAGTGGTTATCCTGCAAAAGAGGGCATGTACAAGCTCACTGAAAACAGCTTTTCAGTATTTCCATGTGAAGGAGGAATACAAAATGCTTCCTAATCGGGGCTTGGGTTCTTGAGCTCTGACATGAGTCATTGTACTTTCTTAGCTGTGTTTAGTCTCTTGTCACTTTGAGTGTCTTACCATCATATGTGTTCTGCTGTGCATCTAGCTGGGCACTTCAGTATTTTAGGAGCAAATCTGTCATTGCATCTGCTGCATGATTTCACCAGCCCCATCACTGAAATTCTTCACAGCTTCTAATATCATACAGACACATGCTTAAGGAAGCCCTGCTGTGCCTGGCACTCTGGAATATAAAGGCAAAAATGAAACCGTCCCTGCCCTTGAAAAGGCCTCAAACCCACAACTCATTTCAGTCTTTACTCAGGCTGTGGTTTGTGTGCTTCAGGAAAGCTAAGACGTGTCAAAATTTCTTTTCTGTTGCTGGCTCACAGTGGGACTTTTGCCAAATGAGTCAGCTAGTTTATTGTAATTAACCACAGCTTTAAAAACCGAAGCCCAGAGCCATAACCATTTATATGGGATCAGTCCACACATGAAAAGATATGTGACATTTAAAAAGGTATACCAGAAAATCTTTTTTTGTGTTGACAGGATGGTTATAGTAAAGTCAGTCAAAAGTAAGATTAGTTGTAACCTAGTGGAGGGAACAGGGAAAGATGATGATGTGCTAAGATGATGCGCTTTAAACTTCTCAATTTTACCATGAACAAAGACAATCTTAAGGCTTTTTTTCCTCCACAGAAGGTCCAGCTATCAACTAGTAACACAGGTCACAGCCAGATTTCAACCTTCTTAACATCTAAATTTCTATTAATCCTTGCACAATTTATGTAACCATAATGATGGTTATACATAACCATAATTAAAAAGTTATGATGGGACTTTTTGTATATAGAGAAATGGAACAGCAATTTAAGCCCACCTGATAGGATTTTTTTGTGCAGACATTCATGGTGGCCCTGAACATCACTGTTTTAAATATATACATATAATATACATTTTACATATATATCTACATATACATAAATTCAGTATTGTTATCTGCAAGGAAAAAAAATATGGAAAAGTCTGAATTGCGCACGCACACACACACACACACACACACACACACACACACACACACAGCTTACTTGCTTTCAGAAACAATGTCCAGAAAGCAGCATATGTATTTCAAGTCCTTTCAGATTAAATATATTGTTTTTGATTTCCACAAAGTTGAAGGCCATGGCTACTGGTGCTTTAATATTATTTCTTACTAAAAATATGCTACTGCCATAATCCTTCCCCAGTTAAAGGTCATAAATAGTGTTCACAATTTTAAAGGACATATGCTGCTGAAGACACCTGAAAGCACTGGTAAGCAGGAAAATCATTAACTATTTTCACAAAACACAGGCTTCCAAAACTAGTCCCTTATGATACTATTAAAAAAAATTGTCCAAATTGTTTTATTTTACATAAACAAGTCCTTTTTATTTGCCCCTTTCTCAAAATGTATACAGAAAGCAAAGTTACCATTTAATTGGCTCTTCACTTCTACCAAGTAGTATTTTTTCCTAGAAATTTTTCAAGAAGTTTGAGTCTTTAAACATTAGATTTCAATATTCATCATCTTCATCAGAATCCATTACTTTTCTTCTGTTGAACTGGAGAGGAAAATGTAAGAGTATGTCACAATGTGTCTGAATTGAAATTGAAAGCTCTCTGAAAAGCAAAACTTAAGTTTAAAAATGCCTTCCACCAAAATTAAGTCACAATTCTACATTTCATGAGTTGTTACTGCCAACCTTTCCATGATGAGTCTCTCTGCACTTAGCTTAGCTGCTCCTCAGGCAAAAAAGTCACAGTTCTGTCATCTGGCTGGTAAGACATCCTACACCTTATGCTTTGCCTTTGAGAAATCACCCCAAAGCCTCATTGTGGTGTGAAGACTTTAGTGAAAGGGGTTTGATATATGAGCAGCATTAGTCTTAGTAAAGAGTGCTTTTTTTTTGGAAGCTTACTTCTACAATATTCAGGTTACTTCAAGAAAACTTACCTTAACTGTTATTTTCTTTTCTGTTTGCTGGCTTACTTTTTCAAGAATTTCTATCAATCCTTGTTCTGATACCTAGGGTAAAAGAAGTAGAATAAAAGTAACTATTTATTTCTCCTTTACACATGCAGTTTAAGGGCTGGATATATTTTTCAAGATTATCAAACCAAAAGATACATGATACAGACACTCTAAAGTCTTTGAGTCTCATTCCTGAATTTGGAAATGGAGGCATAACTGAAGTCAAGACCCAGGCCTATCTACTGCCAGTGAAGAGTGTCGTAAGAGGTGAAAGCCATATCAATGTGCTTAGCTTATAGGAAGAAGTAAAAGCCAGACTTACAAGTGACCAATGGCCCAGTGAAATGACCATTCTGGGTATGAGTTTTTATTCTATTTTACCCATGAAGGTTTCAACAAGAAGCCTTTCTAGACTTCTGCTTAATGTTAGTTATCTTTCCTCTGTTACTGATATCTAATTTATCATGTATATACCTTGCTGCATGTTATAACCCCCTCCATCTACCCTCCATTAGACTGTGAGCCTTGAGAGCGGGGACTGCTTTCCTGCCTTTCTCAGTGTTTCACACAATGACTGGCACAAAGCAGATAGCTAAATACTTTCTGACTGCCTAATCCTTTATGTTTTACCTATGGAAATAAGAGCTTTCAGGAACCATGTTTCTTTTCTTTATTTTTTAGCTTTTAGTTACTGTTCTGGGCAATTAACTAGGCAACCCCCTATGACCCATTAACACAGATAATCAATAAAAAGAAACCCTGTGATCTCACATGTCAAAGACATTACACAATATCAGATAACAGCTAAAGAATTTCAGGCAGGCCAAGTAATTACATTTTAAGAAGGAAAAGTAGCTGATGAGATTTCTCCTGCCTTTCTTTTGCAAATTCCTGGTAAAATACCATTCTATGGTCTGATGCGGCAGAGATTTAACTTGGGAGAATATACTTCACTGACAGAGAGTGAAGCCAAGTACTCACCTTTCCACTCAGCTGCCCATATCTTGCCATCTGTATGAGGTAGTTCTCTACTGCTTTGGCCTTTTCTGGCTTTACAAGTGCTAAATTACTTACTGAGATAAAAACAAACAAAAGACATGACATATAAATATATATATATGTATGAATATACCTATATATCTATATACACATATATACATCCACACATTCACACACATATATACTGTATAACCAAGATTTATATTCCCAATCTTTGAGGTATCAACACTAAATAAATACCAGGAGCTGTCACATCACTTTAATACCAAATAAATGCCAAAATTTATCATCCTCAACATAAATTCCATGTAAATAAAAAATTTCTTCTTTATCATTCACTACTTATGAGCTACAGGGTTGTCTTACTTTTTAAACAAAACACTTTTTTTTTGGCTAAAGGAAATACTGGGTTAGTGATACACACAAAACCCTCTCCAACTATCACTTTTTGCCCAAATTAGGCTTCAGGTAATAATGTTACAAGACACAGTTTTACTTGATTACAATGATTTAAGAGGTAATAACTTGTTTTATACTTTACTCAATATGTACCTAAGCCTGAAAACCTTATCTCCTACAAGCAGAAGAAACAGCTGGTACTTTCTCTCTCTTAAAACCAATTTAAGTACCTAGCACTAAGTCTACTGACCTCACATTCTTCTAAGTAATAGTCCACTGCAGATGTATTTAAGATTAAATAAACATTTCACCTAGAGATAGCAATAGTAATTTCATTACCAGTAGAGATGACCTTTGTTAGGTAACTTAAAACCAATATTATTTCAATAGAGAAATTTCACTTAAGGAAAGCGAAGATGCTTACACCTGGCCCGTGCTGACTGATCCAGAACTTGAGCTAGAATATTGTTTCTCATCTCTGCTTCCCTGTAAAGAAAGTCTAATTAGACAAAGCAGAGATGCAAAGGAAAAAAGCATTCTAGGTGAAAGGAAAGATGTAAGTAAAGGCACAGCGGTGAGAAAACAATGTTTGGGAAAACACAAGAACATGGTGAGGCTGAAAAGGTATTTTGAACCCAGATGGGAGAAGACCTCAAATGTCAGGAATCTGGACTTGAATCAGTAAAATAGCCAATGAAATGAAGGAGGCAGTATTGTCCATTCTCAATCCTTCCCCTCCCCTCCCCTGGCCAATCTCACCTATTGACCCAGGGAATAATGTAACTTTGAAAGCTATAACTAGTTCCCTTTTTGCTCAGGCCCTTGTAAATAAATAGCAGTTATTTAATAAATATTTACTGAATTAAATTAAGGGGGTACCATGAAGACCAATAATCTTTTGTCTAAGTGAGAGGTAATAGGGGTCTGAATTAGGCAGTGAGAACGGAGAGGAGAATGCAAAAGATGTTGCAGAAATGGAATTGATAAAGACCTGCTGAATGGTGTGAGAATCTAAGGAGGGACAAACACATACTAGATAAGAATTTACAAAGTAAGATAAATAAGTATTTGATATAAAGGTCAAAGCTAAAGAGTGATGAAAACTGTTAATCACATAAAACAAGATTTGAAGGAATTTCTGCTTAACCTCAAAAAAAAAAGCAGCCTTCCTTTAAAAAAAAAAGTCTGATGCTGATTACAATTTTCCTTACTTGTAATTTCCTGAAATTTAGCAGCAGATAAAGTTATCAACATATGCTTTAGCAGCCTCATTTCACATAATGGCTTTTCTGCCCATCTCTTATCTTCTACCCAGATTTAGAATTAAGCATATAAATCCACTAAGGAAAAGGAAGTAGATATATAGTAGAGATAGACTATATAGCTAAAATAACTTCCAAGAATGACAGGAATATTTGCTCAAGACTAGCTAAATAACATTATTTTGAAATTTTCATCACTTAGGTCATGTTCAAAATTTTACACAGCTGTTCTCTATATACCTTGGGGATTTCTGCTGAGAAGCTTGGCATCTTGGGTTAGAAAAATCACATCAACTGTGAGATGATTTTTATGTGTGATGTGTAATGATGGTCCATTAGACAAGATAGTTAAAGTACTACTTTAAATTTGTACCTTCTTTCACAGTCCTGCTTGTTGGCCACTGTTGTTCCTTAATAATCCATAAAATTTGAGGTTTATACTACATTCAGGAAGGTGGGAAAATTTCTACGGAGCTTGGTACAGTTTCTAGAGTAGGAATTAAATGAATCACAGAACAGCTAGAAGAGACCTTTTAGATAATCGGATTTAACAATGTGCAGAGAAGTAAACTAACTCTCCAGTGTAACAGGACCAGGTAGTAGCAGACCCAAGATTAGAATCCTAGTCTCCTGGTTCTCAATTCAGTGTTCTATTCACATTATGTTTTCCTTTTGTTGGTAAAATATTAAATGATGTCACAAGAAATGGGCTTGGAGAACAGTTGCTGGCACTGCTTCTTTCTAACTCCCATAGAAAAGTATGAGCCTAAACACCAAGTAAATCATTCCTTTTTCCTCCCCACTGATATGAAATGATATTAGTTAAAAGCAAGGAAACTGGGGACAGCTAGTTATTTCACTTGAGAGAAAACAAAGGCTTAATGAAAGAAAAAACCAAGAAAACCCCTGAAATTGGTAGACAGATTATATATATATATTTATTTTAGAATTTCCAAATTTCATTTCTGCTAACTAAAGGAAAAATCCCAGCTCACGAAAAGTTCATAGATCTCGGTCATACCTGTGTTTTGCTTCCTGTTGTGCTGGGTCACCAGAAGAGTCCTGCAAAGACATTTCACTTTACAATCAAAGGATTCAGAGCTATAAAGATGAATTAAAAGGCAGTCTGGCATAGGGGGTAGAATGCTGGACTTAAAAGTGAGGAAAGCCTCAAGTCCTGTTCTGGCTATGTGGACATGCACAAGTTACTTAACCTCTCAGTGCCTTAAATCAGAGGTGTCCAACTCCTCAGTGGGCCTGAATCAGATTAAAATGTAATTGGGAAATATTTAACATATTAAAAATACAATTTTTCTAAGTCAATACGCAGCCTATAGGGATCCATTTCTATTTGAGTTTGACACCACAATCCTAAGCAACTCTTTAGGACAGTGCTTTCCAATGGCTGCCTCTTCAAGGCAGTTTGGTATAGTGGATAAACTTTGGATGTGAAGTCTGAAAGACATAGGTTTGAATCCTGTCTCAGACACTTACCAGCTGTGTGACCCAGGGTAAGTCACTTAATCTCTCTTGGTTTCAACTTCCCCAACTATGAAATGAGGGGATTGGATTAACTGGCCTTTAAAGTTAGGGTCCTATGAACCACTACATTTTATTTCTGACACAGCTCTGAAACAGTTTTCCAAATGGTTTACGAGGCAAGCATTTTAAAACTCAAACAAAAAGAATGCTTGGCTACCATTTATTGTAAAGTTTTGACATTTGATTTCCTCAGCCATTAGACTATCACAATAATTAAGCTCTTCATATACAATCACAAAATCCTACTTTTGCTATTAAAAATTCAGGATACTAATGCTTTGTGGCCTTTCCTGCCTAACTCCACAAAGTATCCAAAAACCTTATTATTGGTTTGACAAAAAACTTTTGGACTCAGAAAACTCAGGAAAAAAAATTAATAGGAATATATCTTTCATTGTACATCACTAAGAGATAATTATTGTGGAGAACTATATTTGCAAAGCAATCAATAATGTTCAAAAGATTGCAAGACCACAAATTTACAGCTGAAACCTGAGGTCATATCATCCAACCGTCTCACTTTACAGACAAAGAAACTGAGGCCTAAAAAGGTAAAGTGACTTACCCAAGGTCACAGAGTCGGTATCAGAAGCAAATGCGAATGGAGTTTGACTCCACATCCGGTGCCCTTATATTTTTGCTGGAAGCACAGCAGCCTGGTGCTTTCCCCCTCCATCATTTTGATGCCTGACTTAGTGTGGACACCAGACAGCTTTGGCCACTGTTACTCACAACTACCGAGTTCAAGTGATTCACCAGCCTCAGTTTCCCCAGTAGTAGGAATTACGGGTGTGGACAACCAGTTCCTTCTTCTGGACCAGCAACTTCTTAATTACCATGATAATGGAAAAGCGTATTCTATCCTAGATGTAAAGCAAACTAGATGGTTACTTAAACACTCTCTGAGGCCTCAAACAATTTATATCTGACTTGGAATGCCAGCTTTACCAAAGCACAGACCTAACAAATGATGTTTTGTTTTTTCTCCCCCGAGATGCCAACTTGCATTCTGAGATTCCGGGGATCACAATGCTAAGAACTAGACGGGTACTTAGGGAACATCCAGCTTCACCCCCTTTCTCCTCCCCATCTTCTAGCAAACAGGAAGCCCAGAGCGGCAGGCAGAATAAGCTGCCCATCTGCAGGGGCTCGGGGCGGGGCTCCTCTCAGTAGGGGCCCCACTAAGCACCCATGCCTGCAGTGCCAAGGTAGGGCGAGCTGCCGAGCAGGTGGACGGCCCGCAATCCACGTGGCCAGGGGCTCTGCCCGGGCGCCAGACCGCCAGCTCCGGAGAGCAGGGGCAGAGCCGGCGTGCTCGTCGGCCGAGATCCCGGGCCACCCGAGCATCCCCGGCCGGAACCAGATAGGGGCCGGGGCGGGGCCGGCTCCCCCCACGCCCCGTGGGACCAAAGCTCGGCCCGGAGGCTGCTCTCCGGCACAGACGTTCTGGCCCCACGCCAATGACAGGCGGGATACCCCAAGCAATCCAGACCCCGCCTCGGACACGCCCCGGCCGCAGCGGGGAGGCCGACCGGGAGGCCGACCCGGACACCGCCGGGCGCCCGGGCCCGAGGGCCTCCGCGGGACCGGCCGTAAGGGAGGGGCGGCGGCCGCTCTTACCCCGTGCTTCGCCTGCAGTTCGGCCAGCCTCTGCTTCCGCAGGGCCTCCAGGTCTTCGTCGGCCATGGCGGGGCTAGCGGACTGGAAGACGAGCTGACGAGATAGCACCGGGAACCGAAGCCCCTCGACTCCACGCGAGCTTTACTATTGCGCACGCGCCCATCCCAGACCTCTCCACTCCATCCCAGAGCCGCCGGCACGCCGCTGGCAAGGGGAGGTAGGTGGAAGGCCGAATCATCGATTACAGACGGCAAAGGGTGGGCGTGTCTGTGGAAAGGCAGGAGGGAGCTCTAAGGCGGGTGTGAGGTCACAGGGCTGGAGATTTGATCCTTTGGGAGGTCAGACAGTTGAAACAGACCCCCAATACCAGGATATTATTAATCATAATAACAATAATAATACTTAGGCATATAACAACTGTAATAAAATCACATATAATAAAAGAGACATTTATACAGCACTTTAAGATTTGCAAGATGCTTTAGGTGTACTACTTCATTTTGTCATCGCAACAGCCCTCTGAGGCATTATTCCCGTTTTACAGATGAGGAAACTGAGGCTGAGAGAGGTTAAGTGATTTGCATAAGGGTCGAGATTACAGAGTCTAAGGTGGGGGACACAGTCTCTGGTCTTCTGGACTCCAGGTCCAGCACTCAAACCACCATGACACCCTGCTGCTCTACAAACTGCTTAAAGTTAGGCATAGTGCTTTACATACCTTATCTCATTTGCTCCAAGAATTTCCTCCCCACTCTCCTCTCCCTGTCACTTCCCCTTCCCCTATACCCGTTCTTCCATCTCCTGTCCCCCAGGGAGTTCTCCAGAATAAGCAAGGCACTCGACCTAGCTCCTATGCCTACATATGCAGGCAGGAGCTTGCTGGGAGGTGGGTGGCCTTGGGTGTCTCTAGACACACCATCTCCATCTGCCAGGAGTCAGTCTGTTCCAGAGGTGGGGAACCTTCGGCTTGAGACCATGTGTTCGGCCCTTTGACTGAATCTGAACTTCACAGAACAAATTCCCTTAATAAAAGGATTTGTTCAGTAAAACTTGGACTCAGTCACCAAATCTGGTGTCTTTCTCAAAGAGCTTCTCTCCAGTCATTGACTTGAACTCACTGCTAAGTAGTTAGAATACTTTCCCATCCCTTAATACTCAACCGTTCAACTCATTCCAGTGATCCTGAACACTTTACTTCCCCCCCACCCGAATATCCCCTCTCTACACTCTTGTCCACATCAACCTTACCCAACCTCTCAACGTTCCACTACAGATCTAGCCATTCCTTACCGTGTTCCCTGCAGAATACTACATATTTAACAAACTTCTTTTCATCTTAAACTTCTTTCTCATTCCTTCCATCTTCTGGCCCTCACTGAGACATGGCTCCCTCTCAGTGACACCACTTCCCTTTCCAATGCTGGCTATATTTTCTATCATATGCCAGACTCAGGGAGTCTCCCAGGCTATGGGAGGGAGAGGGAAGGGTTGAGGAATATTCCTTAACCTTAATTTCCTCTTCCAGGCTCTTCCTTGTCTGTCTTCACCAAGGAACCTCTCCTCCCTTAAGGTTTGGCTATACACATTTATCACCCATTTCAGATCCTGGTGGCTATTATCTATAGATCCCCAGGACATTCCTCTTCCTTCCCTCAATGAGTTTATTGCCTGGTTCACAGTTTTTCTCTCCCCTTCTCCTGACCTCATACTATGAAACTTCAACATTCCCCCTCAAATAAACTAACATCTTGCCTTGGTCTGTTCCATTGATTGACTCATTCTATTTCAGCTCTACAGAGATGGTCACACCTTTGACCTTACCATTACCCATAAGTGTCCTACTTACATGTTTATGAAATTCCTTCACGGGATCATAACCTTTTATCATTCTATATTTCCCTCTGCCTTAAGAACCCTAATCCCATTCTTTGTTTTCATGGTGACCTCCATTGCCTCTATCCCCCAAGTTCTTTCCCAGGTGATCAGCTCTTTTCCCTGTCTTGACCTTTGATGAGCTAATGCTAAACCATCTTCCACTCAATTCCCTTGCTGATCACCTTGCTAAATATCATTCTTGGATTACTCCCACCATCTACTTCTTTCTGTCATATTCACATAGTTGAATAGAACTGGAGGAAGTCACAAAGTCAAGGTGATTATAAATCTGACTATAAATTTATCATCTAATCTCCCTGGACCCTAACTATAACTAGCTAAACATTCTATTGCTTCCCAATTTATTTGCTATCCCATTCTCCAAAGCAGATGTTCCAAACCTCCTCTTTCCTCTTGATCCTTTCACCTTCTCAGCTGAAGACCTTGCCTCATACTTACAAAAAAAAAATTTGGGATCTGTTGCTGAGACTTCTACCTTTTCCCCTTTTCCTCACTTCACGTTACTACCTCTATTATCTCCTTCCCTCTGGTCTCAAATCAAGAAAGGTCCCTTCTCCCTTTTCTCCTATGCTTTCATAACTCTTCCAACAAATTGCCCCCCCCACCCCATCATCCCCACTCTCTTATCTTCAATCTCTGCCTAGCTACTGGCTCCTTCTCTACTATCTACAAACATGCCCATGTCTCCTCCATCCTTAAAAGACTCTCAGTTGATCTAACCATCCCTAATAGCTATTGACCTATGTCTCTCTGCTCTCTTATGGCTAAGTATCTTGTGAAAGCCATCTGGGCTTCATGACCCAACTTCCTCTCCTCTCCCTCTCTTCTACACCTACAATCTGACTCCTGACCTCATCATTCAACTGAATCTGACCTCTCCGAAGTCACCAGAGATCTCCAAACTCCAAATCTTGCAGCCTTTTCTCAGTCCTAATCTTCCTTGTCATCTCCGCAGCTTTTCCTGACTGGACGGTTCCTACCTCTCCAGCCTCTTACACCTTTCTCCCCTCTTACAACCTAACTCCACTGTCCTTTTGCAGTTCCTTGAACTCAACACTCCAGTCTGCATTTTCTGTGCCTTTCCTGCCTGTCCCTCCATGCCTGGGATGCTTTGCCCTTTAGCCCCCAGCCTTTAGTTTCCTTGACTTCATTCAGGACTCCTCAATTCCCACCTTGTGCAGAGTCCTGTCCTTTTCAGAGTGCCCTGATTGTCTCTTGTATGTACAAGTTATTTGCATATTTCCCTGTTAGAATGTCTACTCTTTGTGGGCAAGGACTGTTTCCCCCCTTTCTTTGTGTCCTCAATGCTGATCACAATGTCTGACACAGTAGTTGCATGTAGGGGCTACTCTCCACATCACATTTCATTAAAAAAATAAACACATAAAAGATTGCTTCAATATGTCAGTGATCTGTGATCTTATCTATGTGGGACACACAGACATGCTGTATAACCCCTGTGTGCCTTCTCATCCTGGGATACATTTTTTTTTTATGAGGCAATTGGGGTTAAATGACTTGCCCAGGGTCATATAGCTAGTAACTGTTAAGTGTCTGAGGCTGGATTTGAATTCAGGTCCTCTGACTCCAGGGCAGGTGCTTTTGCCACTTAGTTGCCCCTGGGATACATCCTTTTTCAGAGAAAATACAATGCGTTAGAGGCCTTTCTCTGGATGCTTATCAGTACCCAATTTGTCTCTCTGTTATCCCTCATTCTTGGTAAATTGTATTTGGTGAAGTAGATAGGGCATTGGGCCTGGAATCAGGAAGACTTGAATTCAAACCCAGCCTCAGATACTTACTAGCTATGTGACTTTGGGTAAGTCATTTAGCCTCTGTTTGCCTCAGTTTCCTCATCTGTAAAATGGAGATAATAACAGCACCGACTTCCCAAGGTTGTTGTGAGCATTAAATGAGATAATAATCGTAAAGCAGTTAGCACAGTGCCGGGCACATTGTCAGTGTTATATAAATATTAGCTATTTTACCTTTGCCTGTCAAATTTCCTTCATGACATCCTTCATGCCGCTTCTTGCACCAGAGTCATCATTGATAATAAAATGCAGTCTTTCAGAGTCATAACTAGGGCAGGGTGATTAAAATTTTGCCCCCGGGTGGTAAATTGAGAGGCATTGAAAGCATTTACACTCCTTCAGCAGAGAAGAAATAACTGAGAGCACCTGTGATTTCACTGGGGTTAAAAAACTGGTATAGAAACTCCTGCCATCTGTTGCAAATTATTAGCTCATCTGCAATTTATTGTCTTAGTTGTTGGGGATATTGAAAGTTGCCTAGTGTGTTTCAGAGGCAGGACTTGAACCCAGGTCTTCCTGATTCCAAGTCCATCTCTCTATCCGTGATGCCTCTCTAGCACCTGGCTAAGAAGAATATTAAAGTTAAGATCAGAAGTCACTTTTCTAATGCTGATGAAATCCTATTTTTTTGCTATATTTATTTCCAGTTTTCCAAATAGCTCTTGTTAAAAAAGGACTCACTTCTCAAGTAGTTTATTAAACATAGGGCTATTGACTTTATTGTTTCTGATTCTCGCTTATCTAATATGTCCCAGTGGTCTACTTCAAAATTTAAATCAGTAAGAAATATTTTTGATGATTACTTTTTCATAATATTGATTGAGGTCTGATATGTTCTTCCTCTTTCATCCCTATTTTTCTTTTGATGACTTGTGCTTAGTAAAAATACACAGTCTCAAAAAAAAATCACTTTTCTCTATTCCCCAGGATATACATCTGGAGTCTTTGCTCATACCTGCTTGGTGAGTGTGTGTGTGTGTGGGGGGGTAGAGGGTAAAGGGGTGTCTGTTTATCTTTCCCACCTCCAACAATTGAATTTGTTTTAAAAAGTTGATTTGAGGGAGATTTTTGTTGTTGCCAGGGCATGAAAAAAGGCTACTTACAACCACTACCAACTTGCCTAACATGCATCTCTCCATTGTCTTTTGGGTCCCCTACAAATTTGGCACTTTGGGGATTATGGTATTCCAAGATTATAGAAAGGGCTAGGCATTGGACCTCTGATTTCACTGGTATGGGGAACTCTTGGATGATATGTGTGTGTGTGTGTGTGTGTGTGTGTGTGTACATATATATAAGATATTGTTATACATACTTTGCCAATGAGATTATATTTCTAGAACCTATTGATAAAATTTAGAAATGAATTTTTTAAAAAATTTCAGCTTTTTCATTATGAGCCATGAATGTCTCACATCTTTGGTTTCATAATCTCTGGTTATGGCACTGTTCTTGTTTAGACCAATCAGCCTGCTTGCCCTCATCCAAGAAATCTCAGTAGGTTTCT